CAGGCACCCTCACAAGACGTGCAGGCACGCAAGTACGGGCACACACATGCAGCGCACACATACAGACACCGTTCCCATTATGGTGACAAATCCTGCCTGAGCTGGCTCCCATCTGTGAGTCATGTCGTGGTGTGTTGTACCAGTCAAACTCCCCCGTCATCTGCCTTTCACAGATGGATCCGCGGGTTGAGAAAGGGCCTTGTCTTGTGGCCACGATGGCAGGACAGTTTGGAAGCAAACCTCCTATGATCCAGATCAAGAACAATCACATATTTCCTGAGCTTTGAGGTGTTAGGGGACAGCTTTCCAACAAGGGGGTCACGTTAATCATCACAGCCTGACTGGGTCTAATCCATTAAACCGCGAGTTCAACCCTACACAGTGTGGTTGGCTGAATCTGTGCACTGATCCTTTTTTTTCCTTCTCTATACATATCCGTTCTTTCACCCTGGCTTCTATTTGCCCCTATAATGGGATTAACTCCAGTGACACCAATCTTAAATCTAGGTTTAAACTCTGCAGGGTGAGTATTATGCCATTGGTTATTCCCCAGAAGGGATAAAACATGGCTTATGTTATACAATTAGATCCCCTTCAGAAACCCAAATGTAATGATGACAAATGAATGATAAATCGCTGCACTCATGCACTTTTGGTTTTCTGCCAGCCCGGTTAAGACGCCACCAGTAACGTAAAAAATCACTGACAATCCACGTTAATTATTGGTTCTGTTAGAATATGTAGAGGACACTGTCAGAAATAATGGAGTCTGTCAAATTCAGGGAAACTGCCTCAACGACTTTGGATCTGTGCAGCAAAAAATGCTTTGTACAGCTATTACTTGTTCTGGCGATAAAGATGAAATAGCTTCACTCCAGGGCTACACTAAAACACAGTACGTTCTCAGTTATTGTTGTTGGGCCCACCCCTAACTTTTAAAACAGCTATTAAGAAAGTTCCTTTAAGCTCTTCTCCACTTCAATCTAACATCAAGGTGGAACAGTTGACCTTGCTGGAGCAAAACGCCTTTCACTCCTCTGCTTGATTCTCTCATCATGGTGCAACAAGACATTAGAAAGACATTCCATTGCTTCTGGGGCAATTAACAATCAACAAACCTCTTTCCTCTCTTGTTCTCAGATGTCACAGGCATCGTAACACAAGGGCATGTAGTTCCGATTCATACAAATACCAAAAAAAAATAGGTTGTTTGCAATTACAGTTTTTTTCAATCGCTAACAAGCGTTTGTCCAAACAGTTGTCACATTTTCAAAACTCTAAACACAATTAGCACAGCATCGGTGTTTTGTGACCATACCATTCACACATTTCATGTCATTTTCACAAAATATGCAGTCAGTGAACACATACCTCCCAACAAAATTATGGATTGTTTTAGTAGTATTCACAAATGTTAACACACACCATCCCACAATAGCAAAAACAATATTCCAAACTGTAGATACAGTATAAAAACCTCTGCTTCTGCAATGATATCAGTTCAAAAACAATATATCTCAGCTGATAATGAACAAACTATTGAATAATTGACACACAGCTGATTTATGTTGGGTAAATTGGGCCAACAACAGCTGATTCCAGTCTGGCTTATTTAAGGAGGACTTTGAGTGATGTTTTTGGAAACAGAAAAAGACAAACACTGTAATTCTGGACGAGGACGAGCAAGAGCAAGGGGCCCAGGGAGAAGACCAGGTCCAGTGAGAGGAGCAGGTGCAGGAAGAGGAGCAGTGAGAGGAAGAGTGAGAGGTGCAGTAAGAGGTGCAGGTCCAGTGAGAGATGTAGAAGGAGGTGCAGTGAGAGGTGCAGGTGCAGGAAGAGGTGCAGTAAGAGGTGCAGGTCCAGTGAGCGATGTAGAAGGAGGTGCAGTGAGAGGTGCAGGTGCAGGAGGAGGAGCCGGCCCAAGGAGAGAGCAAGGTAGAGGTGTAAGAATGCGTGGTGGTGGCATTCAAAGGGCTGCAAGAACCGTAGTCAGTAATGAAATTCGTGCCACTATCATTGACCATGTAATCAACCACGGTCTCTCACTAAGAGAGGATGGTGAAAGAGTCCAACCCAATTTGAGTCGGTCAACGGTTGCCTCTATTATTCATATCTTTCGACAAACAAACAGGTAAGTATTGCATTTTACATGGTTTGTTTCTATTCTCATTTGACAATGTCAATAAGGTCATACAGTAATGCATATGTTGATTTTTTTTTTTTCTCTAAAGAATGCAACGTCTTCCACCCTCTGGGGGAAGAGGAAAGCTCCTCAATAATGATCAAGAGCTTGCCATTGTAGAAATGGTTATTGCAAATAATGCAATTAAACTGCATGAAATTAAAACTACAATTGTGGAGGACTATGAGATATTTGCCAATATAGAAAGCATCAGCCTCACAACCATTACGCGGACATTGTCCAAACAGAGTGCGGAGCAGCTCTACACTGTTCCCTTTGAGAGGATTAGTGAGAGAGTCAAGGAGCTACGACGACAATATGTCCAGGTATAGTGTGTATTCGATTCAATGTCCAGTTATATAAGCTTTGCACTTTGCAAGTAGGTAACCAACACAGTAATGACATAAACTTTGTTTCAGAGAGTTATGGAATTGGAGGCCAACCAGACCCCTCATGAATTCATTTACATCGATGAGGCAGGATTGAATCTGTCCAAAAGGCGTCGACGTGGACAAAATTTAATCGGAAAAAGGGCCACAGTTGATGTGCCAGGACAGAGAGGGGCAAACATTACTATGTGTGGAGCAATGTCAAATGCAGGATTACTCCTTCACAGATGCCAGGTTGGACCCTGTAATACAGAGGGCCTCCTTGCGTTTCTTAATGATCGCCACCAGCGCCTGGTAACAGAGCAGGGTCAGGAGGGTGAAAACATGAGGACCTTTGTAATTACCTGGGACAATGTTGCTTTCCATCATTCACAAGCAATAACAGCATGGTTTGAAGTTCACCCAATACTGGTGAGTCTCTTCCTTCCACCCTATTCACCTTTCCTCAACCCCATAGAGGAGTTCTTTTCTGCATGGAGGTGGAAGGTTTATGACCATCAGCCACATGACCAGATGTCCCTCCTTGAAGCCATGGATGCTGGCTGCAGGGACATCACAGTTCAAGATTGCCAAGGGTGGATCCGACATGCCAAGCGGTTTTATCCCAGGTGCATCGCCTTAGATGATGTCAGATGTGATGTTGACAAAAACATGTGGCCCTGAAGATCGCAGGGATTAGATGCATACATTTTTTGCTATTTTTAGTTCCCCCCCTTTTCATCTGGGCTTTTGGCTTTTTTTTCTTTTTTTTTCAGAATGCTTGTGTGTTTCATGGATATTTTGTTAAAATAAAATAAACCTTTTCTGTTCTATTATACTGTTTCTACTGTACCTTCTTTGGTAAACAGTTAAGAAAAATTAACTGATTTGCTTTTTACTGGAATGCGTTTGAATGTGAACATTACTGTACATGTGAACATACAGTTCCAAACCAATAAATGTAGTGTAAATGGTGCATTGCATGTTACCTGAAACATAAAAGTATATGCAGTTTGTATAATGTCAACAATAGCCAGAATTTTGAAACCTGGTGTACTTCGTTTGACTGCATGTACCTTGTGAAGTGAAAACAAATGGTATTCTTTGACAGAATAATTTCATTTTGAGTCAGATTTCCAGTGTTTTGGTAAAGTTAGTGTGTGCAGAGAAAGATGTGTTCTGTTTTGAAATTAAGAGTTAGTATATATTTAACAAAGTGTTTTTGAGAAGAAAATTATCAATTTGGCCATTCGTGTCTTGTAGGTGTGAGTCTGTGTTAAGAGTTTAGAAAACATTTCTGAAGTATGGGTAAGTGCTTGTTAGCGATTGAAAAAAAAAAAACTAAGGTAGGAATGCAGTAAACTGTCGCCAACCACATTTTACCTCATTTAAATGAATGTGCCATGAAGGATTTGTTCAATGCTGATGTTATTCTTTCTAAGAAGGCTATGATTTGTACTTCGTATTTTCGTTGTGATTTAAATTGATTCATGGCCTGCACTCCTTATGCATATGTTTTTTTACAACAGCGTCACTGCGTAATAGGCTGGCTGTAGATTTGCAGTAAATGTTTCATTCTACTTAAATACATTCAAACGGTATTTAACTTCATTCTTCATTTTAGTCACTACCCAAATGGTGAAATCCATTTGCCTTCCGATTGTAAAAGGGAGCAGGAATCCGGACTATAAAGGTGTCAGAGGCTTAGCTCCATTGTTAACATCAGTCTTACTCTATGTGGGACGTGGTATAACCAAGGATATGTCACCAGAGCTTTTCAAAGGGCAGAGTATATGTAGAGTTCAGTATAGGGCAATGCTGCATGCACACACGTTACTGTCAAAAGGGTTCAAAGGATCACAGTCTGTATCCACTATTCAAAGGTGTGAATGGTAGTGGACAAGCTCTCTTCCATGTGTACTGATCACACATTCAGCTTAAGCCTTTTAATAGCTCTCTCCCCCACTTTCTTTTTCCTTCCCTCTCTCTTTCTATACATATATATTTGTATGTATAATTTAGTATCTCATTCTGATTATTGAGGTTTTCTTTTCTTGTCACTAGGCATTGTAAAGTTGCCATAAATGGCTTTATCGGTTGCACCAATCATTGAAGCATCAGTAAATGATTCATTGTCTATTAATAGATTAATTACCACTTTATAAAGGGTGATGATTTAGAAAGTCGTTCCAAACTACTAAATATTTTAAATCTTTTCTCTTTCCGAGTAGCTCTCTGTTGAGGTGGGAGACTCCATCAGTGCTTGAGAGCATACCATTTTGATTGATATTTCGTTGGAAACAGTCGACCACAGTCCCATTTCCCCGTAACCCCTCTGCCTCCCGCGGCCCCTCCTCACGATCTGCTGGGTGGCGTTGAGAGCTTTTGGCCAGTAATGTCATTTACTCATGCAGACACATGCTCATGTTTCTTATCCTCTCCTCCTGCAGCCTTTTGATCTGGAACACATGTTCTGCACCAGACATTTTCACAGACTTCAAATATAAAGGTGAACACTCAACATTACATTTTTTCTTCTTAACATGGTTTTGCTCTTGTAAAATAATTTGTAAAGCAATTTGAATGGATTTGAATCAGTCTTGAAAAATGGATGATGTTCTGTTTGTATACAAGAAAAAGGATTTCTGTCAAAAATATAGTTTTTGTGTTTTCATTAATCCCTGCAGTAAACGGTGAGCTTTCTTTACTTTTTTATCAAAACATATTTTTTTCAAATTTATCTTATTTTTAAATTTTCCTTGCAATGGAAATCTGCAGCTTTTCTGTCGTGCAGACTAGGAGAGGGTTGAGATGTTTCTGTATGGATTGCCTGACCTTCATCAATAGATGAACAACAAACAATATTAGATTGTAAAAGCCATCCATTTAGGAAATTGGAGGTAATTTAACAGTGCTATATACAACATTGTAAGCACACCTTTTTTTGCTCTCTGCGTCTCTCAGCTGGAAGACGGCCGATCCGGCGGCTCGCAGCCAACTGTTCAAACTATGTGCTGACAGAGCAAACGGTGTTTACCTTCGGGAGAACCGGAGGAGGAGCGCTTCTGCAGTGACGCTGTCGGTTTTGCGACGGCATTACCTGCTGTGGCCGGTGTGAGAACGCCGAGCTAACCACGTGCTCCAATGCGCCAACATGGGCTAAAATTGAGCACAACTGCTGCTGTAAACAATTCAAGGACAAGCTCAGATAACACACAGAGGGAGGTCGACTTCTTTTTCAGCTCAGCTCGAAATTACTGCATTATATCTTGACAGGGCAAATTGTTCTTTGCTGCTATAATAATACTCTTTATCCTGCATATTGTAAGATACCTTAACATGAAAACATCAACTAGCTGGTTTCCTCTCCAGCTGCCTTTTATGGCATCATATTCACCAGCGCATTCCTTATCAGTGGTGCTTTTTTATCCTAATCACTTGGAACCTGATTCATGGTCATGGCACATCTTCAGAGACGTGTGGAAAAAGTGGATTGGGCCTCCATGGTGGCTAATTCTGATTCATGGAATTCAGAGAGCTGTGTTAACGATGTTAGGCATTTAAGAGTTGTCTTCTTCACGGGATTATCTGCGGAGGAGGAAGTCAGTATTCAGACAGAGCTGACTGGCACGGCAAGATCAGCTTGCATCCAAGTAGAACACTTCTTCAGGCATGCAAAACATGCAGACTTAAGTCACATAATCCCTTTTAATATTAGCAAGGATGTCAATACGCTGACATAAATGGATAGGATATAACAGTTTTGCAGGCTTACTGTTGTTGTTGCCGATCACAGTGCTTGTGCGGTAGCTGGCAGGTTGCTGTTGTTAACCACTGTAGTGACATAAATCTTACTGTCGATCCGCTGACAAATAACGACAAAAAGTATTGGAAATGTTGGCGAAATGCTATCCTGTCTAATAAAATATCATTAAGAGAATTCCGGGGCTGTTCTTTGCTTTCCTAATGCCAACGTTGTGGTGTTTATGAAGCCTGCAGATATTTAAGTAAATTACTGGAGTAACCAGACATTGGAACTGTGCAAATATCCCGTTTAAAACAAGACTCTGGATCATAACGGGACGTTTCTGGTGTTTTGTGGAGACACTTCTTTATCAGTGTGACAAAGCGAGCCTGTCCAAGTCCAGCTAACTATGACTGTCAGTGAGAGCTGCATAAAAATAATCGTGTCTGGAGGCACAATGTTGACGTTACATATTCAAATGTTGCAACATGTTGAAAGTGGCATTGTTTGAGCTTCCTTTTTGCACCGCCAAGCATTTGTAATCCTGCACATAACAGATTGGAAACGGCAGCCAGTGTTTAATGCAACATATTTCTGCGTGTTCGCATTGTATCCGGTCATAATGTGTTGCTGCAGCATTCCAGTTTCTTCACTTTGGTCGTGAAAGTTGCCTGTAGTATATCATCTAACCCATCCTGGCAGTTGTGTTCAGTTCAAAAGTTATGGTTTTCTTCTGTGAAGCACCGAACAGAAAACTACCTTTACTTACAGTTTATATTTTAATGAAAGGGGCTACGGTAGATTCAATTTAAAAGAGCTCAAATTACAACATGTCCAGCAATTTCTAAACTGTGAAATAATCTACTATGATGGAGATTGACAATGATAGAAATACAAGTTCTATTCGTGAAAAACTGCCTTGCGTGCCTCCATGCTTAAATAGGAAGGGATCTATCATTGTTTCAGTCAACCCATTTCATAATAATTTTCTATTTTGAAAATAAATATTTTCTCCTGTATAGGATATTTTTGTACAACAAAAGCATACCATTGTTTACATCATTAGATTGCTGGTAATGAGCTGTGGCCATAAATGACACATTTGTGTTTAAAATGATCCTCAAAATGCCTTTAACTTTGCATCTACGGAATACTTAAAAGATTAAAAGCTTTTCCCTAGAAGTTTTCCACCTTGACAGATGGATAAACTATCTTTCATCCGACTCCTTTTTTGGGTTCGGCCTTTGTCTTTTTAATTCAAATTGCACAGCCTTCAATAATTGGTTTCATCAGTGCAATGACTTGTTTGTATAAGTTTTGGTTTTTTTGCATCTCCATGCAGCTACAAAGCAAAGCAGCTGCATGGGGAAGCCGTGGCCCTGACCCCCTTGGCTTCATTATTATCTTATTGTATATTGAAATCTTGTAAAGCACTATAGAAAGGCTGTCCTACCAAAGCGAAGGTGTTAACACAAGTTACTACCAAATAACACCTTATTTACCTAAATAATGATACACTAAGCTGATTTGAAAAAAACCCCCATTTAAACAGGGACATGAAGTACCCTTGGAAGAATATTTGTTGGATAATCACATTTGGGGTGGTATTTATTTGTGCTATTGGCCATGGCACATCCTGCACATTAACAGTTTTGCTGCTCAAAGGACAGACTTGATTCTCCTCGCAGCCATTTAGGAAACAGGCTGCTGCTTTTCATGGTATTGAATGCAGCTGACATTGTTTGCAATTACAGCAGCATCTGAGGATGCTGTAGAGTTTCTTATTAATTTCTTTAGACAATAAGCAAAAAACGGGTAAACTAGCAGTGGGATTATTTAATATTAGCATACCAGATGCTGAGTCGTATTCATGTGCAACACATCGTGTGAGGAGAGTCAGAACTGTGACCTTGAGAACGTGAAACACTGCTCTGTGAGACTAGTAACCCTTAAACAGTGCTTAGTTGGAGCAATCCCACTCTTCTTGCACACGATCTCTCATACCGGCTGATTATTTATGGGATGCCGGTAAATGTGCTGAGCAGTGGTGAGCGTATAAATAGCAGTACGGACATCATCGGAGGCTTCAGTTCACCAGGCAGGAAATGGGAGGGGAAAAGAGCTTACTACCGGAGCATCAGATCATGAGCAACAGAGACGATCCTCCCGGATTCATCAAGAGCAGAGGGGAACTCTGATCCCTCGCACGCTCGGGTTGTTCTCTGTGGTGAAGGCTCATGTGGAACCCCGCTGACCTCTGTGGCAACCGGTTATTGCATATGACATGATAAATGCTTCATTCAGCTACCGTGTTCGGTGACTTAAACATAAGGGACATAGTTCATGATAACACAGACTTGCAAGTGTAGCAGTTTTTTTTATTTTTATTAAAAATAGCTGCATAACGAGCAATTATTAGAGCGTACATTATTTGATATGATTCTCTCAGGCAACTTGTATTATTGCTCAGTGTCACACCACGGTGAGATTTCCCTCCCAAACCAAGAAGTGGCATTATCCTAACCATGGTAAATATGGAAGTTCATTTTTTGCCCTTGCCCTCCTCCACCGCCTGGCCGTCGCCATTATCTTCGTGTTCTGATGTACAGGCCTCCAATTTGGACTCGTGTTGTTGCCTAGTTGTCCGGAGGCCTCTCATCTCCGGAGGTCACTCTGGCTGCCCTGAAGGTACTGTTAGTGGTCAGTATGCCAACTGGGTGGGCAGGTTAAGATAACCGTATGCCGTCTGTTAAATCCCAATCAGTGGAGGCTGCAGTGAAACACGGATGTTTGAAATGTCATAAAACATGCTTAAAAAGCCATCAGTAAGCCCTGTGCTAGGGCGGGTATTTATAGCATCCGTTCCTTTCTCAAAGTGTCACCTCTTGATTTTTAGTCAATACCGTCTGCTTTCAAGAGAGGAGGATTAAAGAAGCAGAATAACCAGGCCTCGCTCACACTGATAGCCTCTCAGCCTTGTACATCCAACCGGTTACGTTCCAGATCAAATATGTGTGTGTTTCTATATATGCTTTTTATTGGAGGTCTTATAATGGCAATGTGGGCCCCGGCCTCGAAATGTTTATTTTAGCCTTGTGGCGTGGCGGGCCGAATAATGGAGAAGTGGATGTGCTTTGTGCCAAGCATTTTTCACACTGCAAAAGAAAGGCCCCAGTAGCAGGTTCCTTCTCACTCTTCATTAACAATTCTAGAGGGTGTTTCGACTGGGAGGCGATAATGCTTCTAGTGCACCAAAGACTAACAGGTGCTGCAAAGTACAAGGAGAAGCATGTTGCAGTTTAAACTACGTAATTGTGTTTGATTCTGTTGAATGCCCATCTGCAAAAGCACTGCAAACTAAAGTCAGTGGAAATATGTCAACTGAAACATCAATTTTGCCACAATGCTGAGACATAATCAAAGCCTGCAGTCATCCAAGCGCCTGCCTTACCCCGTGCGCTACGGCTTGGAGATCTTTAAGCACAGAACAAATAGCTGTTTGTCCTTGAGGATGAAATGAGAAGGCTGTGCCGCTACACTGGGTTTAGGAAAAAGAGGGAAAAGCAAACAACCATAACAGCTGCAGTTTCACCTAACTACTGGATCATCAATCATGCTTCATTTTATATGTAGTCTAACCACTGTGCATTTATCTAAAGGCCTTCGCTTGCCAATTAATCATTTGACAGTAAGTTAATAAAAAAAATATTTGTATAATCTGTTTATTGTTTGAGTCATTTTTAATAGTAAATTAAAAAACAGTAATTTGAACATTTCACCCAATTATCTATGTATTTAGCAAATGACAGGGACATATATTGATAATAAGTTAACAGGTAACATGAACATAAGATCTCAGTGAAGTGCAACATGCATGAAATTGTACTTTTCACATCACTGTTTGAGGTCAGTCAGAAAGCTGCTCATGGACGATACATAATGACATTTTGAAAGTAAAGGATTTAAGTTGCTAAAAATCCTTCAGAAAAAAACCTACACCATGATAAATCACCAATTCCTTAATGTCATCAGGTTGGCTTTAGAGAAGCTAAATGGAATATCACCTGCATGTTGAATTAGCTTTTCCACTTCAGAAGTGGGTTGCAAAAATTACATTAAAGAAGAAGAGGAGGCATGTCTCCTTTTAATGTAATGGATGGCTTACTAAACAGCCTTTGAAGGCTCCTCTCAATGGCAGTGTCTTTTGCGGAGGGCGCACTTGTTTATGGTTAGCAGAACTTAGGGTTGGTAAATATGTCCTGCTTGGACAAACACCCTGTGTTGCTTTGGCTCGAGCTGATGAAAAAAGGAATGTTGAAATCTTAAGCAAGATTGTTGCTTTGGCAATTAAATCTGACAGAGGAGAATTGTAGAAATTCCTTCGTTGTCAGAAAATAGGTGGAAGTGGTCCCTTTTTCTTCATTTGCAAAAGCTGCAATTAACTCTAATAGCCCCATATACGCTTTTAGTTGGGCACTTGGGGAAGAGAAAACAAATGGTGGCTCCCTTGAATTGTTTGGGTCTATACACAATCTTGCAGCGGTTTAAATCATTTCCAAGAACTTTATTTGTTTACTCTGAAAACAATTTACAGCTAAAATGTTTAGTGTGACGGTTTTCTGCGTCTGAGATTGATGACATTATAACCAAATTGTGCATGAAAGCATTGCACCAGAGACACTTAAAGTTGGTTTTTTTGCAACTGGTTATATTCATGTGCAGTATCTATGTGCTCTCACTTGGTTAATCTACAGAAAAGATAAGTAAAGTCTTATCATAGCAGTTAAATGCACTCAGATTTTCTCAGGTCAGTGACTAACTGCAAAGTTGTTTTTCCCTCTTTCCAGAGGTCAATACACAAGAGTTAAGGGCCGAGAAATGGAGCGAACTGTGTGTTTATCTGCTGTGACACGAGCCACAATCGATGGCATGTCTGATTAATGCCCTTCTCTCTATTAAATTTGGAGAAAAAGAAGTTTGGAAAGTTAACACTGGTGCAACACCAGCCACGATAGTGTTATGTTTATCAGACTCTGTGGCTTTGTTAGCCTTCATGCTAGAAGCCCCTTCTCTTGTAATATTAAAAGTAAAACATGATGAAAATATAAACAGGCATTTAAAGTAAGTAATCCACACCAGGAATAGCTACACTGCAGTTTGTTTCTATGTCTTTTATTCAAATGTTTATTTTTTGTTTACATCGACCGGCAAGGAAGGGTTAGACAGATTCTTCCAATATGTCGTGAAATTTAGCCTCAATCATCAAGTCGTCCAATTATAAAAACTTGTTTAACACCATAGCCGTTTAGGTTGAAGGTGGGAAATCTTAATTTTTATTAGCAGTGGTACGCATTGGTTAGGCCGCAAAATCAATGCAGCTGTCAGAATAATCTAGTAAGGGGCTTCAAATTAAATCTAAATTTTGTGGCTCGTGCGTGTAACACACATACAAGCTTCAGCTCTACATGTGAAAGGAAAAACAAACCATGAAATGACGGAAGCGCCCCAGTGTGCAATCCAAAGTTGGGACTATTTTTCCATCATTTTTGTCTCTTAAATTCCCCTCTGGGCTCAAAAGGGTTGTTCCGCTGCATCAGAAGTATCAAATCATTTGCATTGAGTCTGGGATGAAATCAAATATTTAACCGTAAATTGAACCTTTTTATGATTCTGACACTATTACAACTGGTGCCCCTAATGTCATTCGTACTTGCACATTAAGGTGTGACCGTTTATTTCTCTCTGCAGACTGCTTTGAAGTGAACCCCGTGAGGAGCATCCAAAACGACCCAATATTCCGGTGAGTTCCCAAATTGAAATTAAAACCGTCTTCACATTTACATAATACACTACCAAACATATCCCATCCAAACTGAGGAAATGAGCAGAAACTGATGGGCCAAAAGGCGAGAGAAAGGTGGAGTGAGTGAGACTATTTACCACTCCGATGAATTCACATAGAATGGATCGGCCTCCGATAGCGTCATGGATTGCACACGGCTTCCATTTGTCATATTTGTTCCGGCTTTGAAGCCGCAGAATCTGCGCAATCCGCTTTCATGAATTTGCCCTTGAGTGTTCATTCCGCAGGGTCAGTGTGTTTGTCTCTCCATGCATGCGTGTTCTCTGTACGTCTCCCACAGAGGCAAACCCTACAGTTCTACCCGTTTCATTTCCCTTTACTCCCACACATCCAGCGTCTCATTCTTTTTCCTCCCGTCTCTGTCGCACGCAGACTTAACCACATGTTCACATGCAGAGGGAGCGCCTCCGCAGAGTGACACTGTTAGCTATCCTCTCACATAGGAGCGGGGCTGGGCCGGCGCCACGGCTCTTTCCTCACAGCCTGCACAATGGGAGTCGGTTCCATTATCGGAGCTGCTGCTTTGCCACCCTGCAGCAAACCCAGCATCCTCGGCTCCAGCAGGTTTAGTTTCTTATCTCAATCGGGAAAACGGCCCCTCTGATGAACGGCAGAAAAGCACCCTGGGCTGCTGTGAACACGCATTGAGAATACATACAGTAGACGCTTTGATGAACTTATGAACGGGCATAACATCAGTATTCCTCACAGGAGTTTGTGGTCGGTCATACGTATTCAAGGGAATTAGTCATATAGTCTAAATAATTATTCGTGCAGGGGAAGCTCTCTGCTCCATTAATCCAGTGGTAAAGCAATTATTTACGGAGCCACCATCAAGGACATATCAAGCACTGAATGTCACATGATTTGTGCTTCACATTCTCGCTCTGTAGGCAGACGGACAAAGGCAGTTGTTTGATTCTTGACATCAACTCAAAGAGCGTTGATTTAAATTATTAATGACATGCACACAGAAAAAAAAAGTTTCTTAAATGGTTCTTTAGAAGGCAGTGCGGTTCTACAAAGAACCATCACCTTTTTAAGAATAACTTTAGCCTATGGTTCTACATGTTTTTCATATGGTTGTTTGAGATATTAAAGGGTTCATGTTTGAGTTGTTGAATGGTGGGGGATGGTGAAAAACACCTCCGTGCCATGATCCCTGTTAGCTAGTTAGCTGCCAGTTAGCATACATATACGAAGAAGAAGAAGATGATGAAGAATTTACATCTGAGCACCTCTTTTCCCAATTTAAAAATGGCTAATATTATATGTCCTTGCTCGGACTACTTGAAAGTACTGACTGTCAAGTAGAGTACTGAACAGGCTCTTCCCCTAACATTAGCTGTTTTCCAGAAGATTCTAAGTCATGAATGACACATAAATCACCAATCACGATTGTGAGATATGTGTCCGCCCCGCCTACTTGGCGGTCGTCCTCGTCTTGAGTGACCAACGTCTTTTCAAACCAGTAATCCCCAACTAACAGCCGTCGGTTTAAGGTAAGTGATGGAAGCTATTGGTTATTACAGGAAAGCATTGCTCTTTTTTGTCAAGTTAGGAGTTAACTGAAGATAATGCTAGTTAGCTAACGTTAAATTGTTGGCCTAATGGATTGCGCCCGTAGGGGCATAGGGCTCAAACTCAAACTGCTCCACCACGTTATGGTGGCGATTTGATTTTTTTTCTGTGAGAAAACCCAAGAAGGGGGGAAAGCCCAGATTGGGGATGGGGGGAGGGGCATTTTGCCAATTGGCCTGGCATTTGAGGCATTTGAGGACCTGCCTTCTCAGTTGTTTGTAAATATCATGCAAATGAGTATCTTTTACTACTTGTGTTCCGATAAGTGTTTTTTTCCAACTTTATTACTAATTAGAAGAACAAAGCAACTGAAAAGTAGCACAGCGTCTGAGGAATGCATCTTTTTCATTTCATCCATTCTGGCTAATGCGAGGCTGCAAATGAAGGTGAAGGGATTTCTGTATTCGCACACGTACCCTGAACGCGATCATTTGGCCCATGTTCGGATAACCGCGCACAGCCGCTTTGACGACCCAAATGGTAACAACGTGTGAACGTAGTCCAACAGTTTCATTAAACCGTCACATAAAATGGGTAGGTAGACACACATGTCCCTCTATATAGTTTGTCTAAGTAGTAAAGGCATGGCTAGTAGTAGAAATATATCATCTTTTAAATTATGTTCATGATACTGTGTTGTATATTAGAAATATGAAATATAATGCTATATTTGTTATATTAGTTCTATGATAGAATGTTAAATGATGGATGAGGATGGAGTGGCAGATGAAGGAAGGTGTTCTTACCGGTGTCCAGTCTCAGGCACGTTGATGTTGACGTCCTGGATGGTCTCCTTTTTCTTCTCTTCTCGCTCCTGTTTCTTTGTCTCCTTGTCCTCCATCTTGCACCTCATGTTGTCCATCTCCGTCTGCCCGTCTTGCATCCGTCTCCCAAAAAGGCCTCTCTTCTTTTTTAAGTCGAGGCAGATGTTGTCAAAGACTGTTTTGTCATCCTCTAAATCTTGGATCCTGGTGATAAGGATCTGATTTCCTTTGGCGATGGTATCCTCCATCTGTCCGATCTTTGAGATCAGGCTCAACTCAGTGAAACCACTGGTGGTGACCACCTCGTGGTGGGTCAAAGTTTCGACTTCTCAACTGGCAGCACAAGTTGCAGTTCCAATGTAGGCATTGAGATCTCTCACTTGCATTTTCAGGTAGTGCACTTCATTATTGGCACAAGAAAGTGCAATATTCACATTGTATCCAGTCGGACGACGTCCGAGCAGTGAAGCGCCAGCTCCGGCTCTCTGGATGTTTCCGCGGTACATGGTGAATAGCACTAATAACACTGTAGTCTTTAAAAACACTGTTGTTAGTCGGTAAATGACTCAATGTAGTCTTTGAAAAGAATGATGCTATCTTTAAAAAGACTGGCGGAAAGACTAAAAGCCTTATAAAGGCTGTTGTTTGTTGGTAAACGACTCGATGTAGTCTCTAAAAATTGATGATAAGTCTTTCAAAAGGCTACTTCGGTCTCTAAAGGACAAACAAACACTGGACTGAAATCAGAAGGGCTGTCAAAAAAAATCAGTAATTCATCTTAATCTAGATCAATTGCAATTAAAAGTTTTTCTTTTGAAGACTAATTACTTTAGAAATCGTGCATTTTTAACAGTGTTGTTTAATTGTATTTTTTAAACTCAAACTGCACACATGTGATCATCTTGGAGGCACATTTCCACTGAGTGGAACATGTTGAACGAGCGACTCTTCCTGCTGTCCTCTCTCCATCATTTGACGGCTGTGTTTGAAGTGCCAACAATCTCCCGACATTTAGCCAGGACGTTCTCAAAACCGCTGTCTTCTAGGGACGCAGTGGTGGTCCTCTGCAGGGAAGATGTTGAGATGGAAGTATCCCAGCAGCTACCAAGATGTTCCGGGCACTATCAGCTCTAAAGTGGTCCGTTTGCCACTCATCCCCTTTCTGATAGGCTTACTACTCACAATATTTGAATCATTTCTGTCATGGGAATTGAATGTATTGTCACATCTTTTACGTCTGTCTATCCGGGAAGAAGGATCCCTCCTCCTTCGTTCTTTCTGAGGTTTTTTCCACTTTTTTCTCCATCGAAAGTTTTTCCTGTGCCGATGTGAGGGTTTCGGGACGCAGGATGTCTCATGTGTACAGACTTTTTTCATGATTGCGCTTGTGGAAGAAAAAGACATCCAGGCTTTGTAGTGTGTTTTAATGTTTCTCAAAATTGTTTTCCCAATGCAACTGTTCCATTCCATTAAAAGTCTGTGATGAAGTGCAAAGATTTGACTCTTTTTCTAACAGCTTCATCATCATCGTGTGCAGCCACTAGAGTGGTAATTGTGTTTTCATCTTTCCAAGGCTCCAAAACAAAAGGTATTATGTGAGCACAAATAACTTGTAATTCGATATACCCTGGCTAAATTAGTTTTTTAGTGTTTAGTGCCAGGTAGAGCTGAGCTTAGTGATTGTAGCACCAATCTTTTTTGTGGTCGAACGAATCAAGAGTAATTTATTGACATTGTTAAAGCTCTACAATCTTTGCGGCTTTACAGCTCATTAAAAAATGTTACTTGAAGCATCCATCTCTTTAAAGCAACATATGTTTTCTATTATAAGGAATGCACACCGCTGTATAGTAAAGATACACTTTTGATGCAACATAACTCAGTTTGTGTGTGTGTGTGTGTGTGTGTGTGTGTGTGTGTGTGTGTGTGTGTGTGTGTGTGTGTGTGTAATAAGTCCGAAACAAGTAAAAGAAAATCACACGGCTCATCGAAGCATGTTTGAGAGACATCGCCACACGCCAGGCAGGGCTGCTAAACGCTGAAAATATTGATTCTGATCGTTTTCACATGGCTGGGGTTTTTATAATGTGGCACCGTGAGAGGTAATTGATTTTTCTTCTTGCTTTGAACTGGCTGTCTTGCAGGAGGACTGCTAGTGTCTGACTTCAGCATTAAGCAGAGATCAGCTGCTTCAGATACAGCAATTTGAAAATGGGGTTTGAGTAAAAAGTTGAAAACCACAGTTTCATTAACAAATCTCTTTTTTCACCTTATACATTCAAACAAGCTGTTTTATGTGAATGTTTTATGACACAAGCAGGCCCTTCTAGTGGTTTGAAAAACAGACTTTGAAACCGATTTAATTAGTTGGGTTTTTTTTAAACATTTTGAATATTAACAACTGAGGCTTTTAGTGAATGGTGTTATATTACATACAGGTTGATAACTTTGGCTATGATTCATTAGAAATATATTTCTTCAGAAAGTGATTGTGGTTTTCTTTTTTTGGGGAACAAAGTGCAGGAAACAAGTTTGACACATGAGGTGCAGGTGACAAAACGTTTTTTAGTTTCCCTTTCAACAAGCAGTTTT